AGAGTAATACTACATAAAGTTGCAAAAACAGGGTATAGTCACAGATTGTGATGCTGAATACAAAGTTAAGGTGTGTTTTAAAATACTTAGTGGGGGGGCAGCTAGGTGGCACAGTGGATAGAGCGTTAGCCCTGGAGTCAGGAGGACCTGAGTTCAAATCCAGGCTCAAACATTTGGCACTAGCTATGTGACCCTGAGCAAGTCACTTACCCCACTGCCTAGAAAAAAAAACCAACTAAACCAAAAAAAAAAACTTAGTAGGCAATAGGGATCCACTGATGGATGTACAAAGTGGTACAATGTGATTATTCATGTACATACAGGTCAGAAATCTGACAGCAATATGTAGCATTAGATGTTGTTGTAAGTGTTCCCATCAGAGGCTATGAGGGCCTGAACCAGCATTGTGATAGTAAGGAGGGAACAGATGGGAGAGCTGTTGAGGAAGTACAATTTAAAGGACTTGGAAATGGAAGGTGTGGGAGGAAGGGGAGCAAAGAGTCAAAGATGACTCTCATTTATGAATAGTATCTTTATGAGAGATGGAGAAATCTGAAAAAGGAGGCAGGGTTTAGGAAAAGATGGATTTAGTTTCAGTTATGTTGAGGTGGGATGGCCGGATGGAGGTTATCAGGTAAACAGTTAGAAATGTCAGTCTGGAGTTTTGGAAAAGAGATCAGGGATAGAGTTTTGTAAACAGCCTGTATAAAGCCAATAATAGAGGAGGAAAGAATGACATGAACAATGGAAAGGATGTAAAGAGATAACAAAAGAAGTTCTAAGGCTAGAGCCTTGTGAAACAGCTAGGTTAAGATTTAGAAGAATGAAGAAAAACCAAAGAAACACAAAGAAGAAGCTATTATAGAGGCAGCAGAAGGATAATGAAAACGGGGTATCATAGAATCAAGGGACATGAGAACTTTGGGAAGGTCAGAGACTTAGTGATTAAGAAATAAAAAAAAATCACCAGTGATTTTTGAAGAAGCAGTTTCTGTAGAAGAGTTGGGATGAAAGCCAGATTGAAAAGAGAGTAGGAAGAGAAGAAATTGATTCATTGAGTGTAGACCGCATGTTGGAGAAGTTTGGCAGCGAAAAAGAGAATAGATAGAAAATGGTAATGGAAGGAGAGGAATGAATAGAAAGATAAATTTGAAATGCAAAAAAGTGGGGGAATAAATGACGGAGCAAAGTTCTAGGAACAGTAGGAGGGGAGGAGATCAAGAGTACAAGTGGAAAAATAAGTACCGCAAAAGAGCAGGACCATGTCTTCAAAGCCAGAAGAGAAGAAAAAGAAATTGGGCAAAGACATGATGACACCAAAGGAGAAGAGGCACATCGATGACAGATTGAAACAAGTGAAAAGTAATACGGGGGGGGGGGGCAGAAAAGTTCATCTCTACCATTATAATCCCGTCCACCCTGGGTAGATCTGAAGTGTGTTTTCTTAACTTCAACACTCTGCTCAATAGTAGCTAAATAAAATAAAGACAACTGCTTAAGCCTTTAGTCTTTACTTCATGGTCTCATGACATCAGGGAGAAGTATGACTTTAGCTAGTCCTATCAAATCAAGTCATTTAGACTTTAGTGATAGTGTCAGCCTGAGGAGTTCTTGTACACTTTGAAATTTTGCATTTGTCCATGACTTGGTCTATATTTTTGAAGGAAAAAAAATGGACCTAGATAGCAGGAGATTCAGTCATATTTACTCACTACCCTTCTTTTGTCAATCTAAATATTTGGATCCCTGGTAATAGTTCAATGTCCAGAAGAAGGGGAACAGAACATCATAAAGCAGAGTGCCAATATTTTCTACTGCAATATGAAACTTTACAAAATAAGTCAACTGAAAGATAGCGTGAAAGCCAACACTGGGAAAATAATTTTTAATCTAAATTTTTAAAGGAGTAGTATGTCTGATATATATACATACATATATATTTATATCACTTCTCTAATATTTTCTTGATTGAAATTTCTCTAAATAAATGAAAAAGTTTAAACAAATATTTCTTCACATTTTAACTGCTCCAGCAGAATGTATGCCCCTTGAGAACAGAGTTGGTTTTTACTTTTGCATTTTTATTCCTAGCACCCTGCACAGTGCATGACCCACAGTAGGCACTTAATAAATGTTTGTTAATTGATGAAATGCCCAGTATGTGCAAGACACTATACTAGGTACAGACATACCAAGAGAAGTAACAGCTCACATTAATGTAATACATAATGCTCTATAATGTCCTCGCCTTTCAATATCTCTGCAGCAGATAATATAAGCAACAAATAGGTCCTGCCCTCAGTGACTTATTTTTTTATGTTAAGAGTTCTTCTATCCCTTTAATAGTAATAATAATAATTTGCTATTTTCCTTCATTCCTAGGAACACCGCAGGGAGAACAAAGGTTTACAATGTGGCAAACCTATACGTCACTAAGACCTTTAAGGGTTGCTAAAATCTGCTCCTGGCTCTTCCATTGACTTACTAGATTGCTCTTATGAAAAACTATGGAAAATCAAAGGAATTTTAAAACTTAGAAGAACTGGACCTTGTCAGATGAGTTGGACTTCAGAAGATATATTTAAATATGTAAACTGTCATCCTGTCAAAATCAATCAATAAATATTTATTAAATATCTACTATTTGCCAAACTGTCTCAATAAAGTCATGCTGATACATTGGCATAGGGGGAGATAAAATGACTTGATAATTCCTCATTTTAAAGACTGTTTACTTTCCTTCTTTAAGGAAGTATCTATTATTACTGTATATGTGTTGTGTGTATATATGTGCATACATGTACACACATATATTACATATACATACATATATACAGATCAAATTGTCATTTAAAAATTAAGCCAATCTGAGAGCTAAAATGATCTTTTTTTGAGATCAAATCCTGATTACCATCTATTCTGATGCAGCTCACCATTATGATCCTAAGGTTTAGATACTGACCTACTTTTAGGAAGTGAAGTGGATTCACTTAATCTATTTCCACTCAACATTAGCAACAGTTTTTCAGTGACTTTATATTTCGTCTAAATTCTCTTTAATTTTCCTCTTCCTCTCAATTATCCATAGTTTTTTTCCCTTTCTTATTTGTATGGCAAACAGAATTCTAATGACTTCTTTTAGGATCAACACATTTACCAAGACTATGCTCCAAAGAATAAAAATAAAAAAGTCAAAAGCAGCTGCGTCACTTGTTCCTGAATGCAAACGGAGTCATAAAAGAGGCAAGAAACTCCAAAGAGGCAGCTACAGATTTGGAAACCAAATCTATGCGATGCTGTTTTGTTAAGTAATGTGATATGAATCTAAGATGGTGTTTTATTCATTTTAATATGTGGAAATTAAATGAATAAATCATCTACAAATGGAAAATCGTATCTCTAGGAAATTAAACGAAATATAATTTCTCCTGACACCTCTCTGCAAGTTGGTAGAAAATAGAGAGGCAGCTAGAATATTTAAGAGTACAGACTATGTATGTTACATGCATCAATGATATTGGAATAGCACCGCCTACTGCAAACATACAGATAGACGATCAGCCTCTTCTTTCCATATTTTTATTACTCGGTCCAAAGCCGGTGATGTTTTAAGACTTTAACTTGGGAATAGCTAATGAGTTCTTGGAAGATGAAGCCACACCTTGCTTTATCAGTGTTCCCTGTCACAATACTTCCCTACTCCCGCTGTTTAGGAGTTGTTTAGCAGTCAAAGACAGTGTTAGACCTGGCATTGACTTCCCAGCCAATTGAAGTGAGAACACTGTTTTGATGTACAGAAATACAGCTTTTTAAAAGTCAAGATCTGCTGGTAGCTGCTCTGTAAACTACTATGGCAGCTGTGCTACAGGTCATGAATATTACATAAGAACTGTCCATGCATTCAAGCCAATAGTATGAAGCCAGATTCCCATAGCAACACACATAGATTTACTTATCCCTGAGAGATGCATCCGCTCAGCAGTAAGGGCTCTAATGTTACCCATATTTTTTCAACAAGATGATCACAGTACTTGATCCCTTTCCTTTCAAATCTTTGACTCCTTAAAAAAAATTTAAAAAAAAAACGACCAACCAACAATCCAGTGAAATATATCCACTCAGAAGTTACTTAGCATCCAAAAAGCAAAACAATTTAAAACTTGTTGGATTATCTGGCAAAGCAATCATATAGGAAAAGGAACCATTAAACCCATCAGATCAGAGATGTAAATCTGGATGACCAAATCCTTGATCTCAGCATGAGTTAGCTCTAAAATATGCTACTCCTCCCCGCCCCCTTTTTTTTAAGGTGGTGGAGGAGACACAAATCAACTGAAAAGAAGGAGTCACTTACTGGTGTGAGGAAATGGGCTGTACAAATGGCCATTATTATCTTACCCATAAAATCTGAAACTCACAGCTCTTATTTCTGCCAGCAAGTTCTCCTTCAAATCCTAGTACTTTTTAATGCAAGTCAATTCCTTGCTAAATGAAACATGTAAGAAAACACTATTGCAAACACCTATCTGGGGAAATGATTGAAGCCTAAAGAAGTTTACATATGATAACTTGAAATACCTTATTTTAAATGGAGAGATGGTTTGCTGGAATAACTTTTGGGGCATTCATTTTAAAGCAAAATACTTTTCTTAGAAGAAATTTCATTTTCCTTCTCAGACACACAAAGTTCCTCTGTAACACAGGTGCCCCCAATAAATGGACAGTACATGTGAACAAACAAGAAAATAAACCCCACCCTACATCCTCCATGCCAGATTGTTCTTTAAACAGCAAGGGCTCAATAAATGCTTTCTTTCTCTAAGCCAATTTCATTTATATAGCAAGCGATAAGAACAACCGGCTTTTCCTACACTTTGCTCAAGTCAGACAGTCTGACAGAATTTCCAAGGGTTCCCAAATGAGCTGAGAAACATCCACAGGTGGCCACTATGGACACCAGAGACTAGTTTGAAAAGGCATGATGTGAAAACATGCTTCACCTTGGCTTTTTCCAGCTGGGCCTGGGCCTGTCTCTCTGCCTCTCTCCGAACTGCTTCCCTGTCTTCCTCCAGAGAGACATCTGAATCAGATGGACGGCTAGTGTAGGAGTCTGCCGAACCCTGAAGAAAAACATCAATGTTAAAAGAGATTAGAAAGAGACGCCTTGCATTGAGGGAAGAAAAGGCAACATTAGCATTTCATCTAGAATGTGGGAAAGATCTATTTCATAGCAGTAAATAGATTGTAGAATTATGGTGTGTGTGTGTGTGTGTTTTTTTTTTCTGGGATGATAGTGATGACATGAAGATCATGGACCAGGACAGGTGTTCCAGTCAGGCCATATCTCCTGTAAAATCTAGACATCTAATTAGTCAGCTTTTTGGTACCAGGAGCAAATTTCCATGTGGTAAACCAGGTGAGTGCTGCAGTGCAGGGCTGAAGGACAGAGGGGTTTCAAGGATAGCTCCGGGGGAAAATGAGACTCATATAAACCATGGTAATTCAGCATAAGGAAGGAAACAACTCTCTCCCCTCCTTTCTCCTCCCCTCCCCTCTGCTTGCTTCTCTCTCTCTCTCTCTCTCTCTCTCTCTCTCAAAGGAAAATCACTGTGAACCAAAGCTCTTGAAAATCTCATGGCCATGATCTGACATCCCTGACAATCTGAGAGCTTCCTCATACTAGGTTTTACCTGACACCTTCTCCCCATGACAAAATCACAATGCACCAGCACAGTTCAACCTTTGGATAACATACTTAGCCATCCACAAATAATGGGGTCCTAAAGATGTCTGCAAAATAAAAAAAAAAACCCACACCCAAACAAACCCACACACATAAACAATCTGCTCTTGCAACCAAGCACTGCACAGGGGATCTGAGAATCGAGAGCCATCTCCCTCACTACCTTGTCATCATGAGCATATTAATTCAAACAAGCTTTTGCTTTCAGTCAATGCCTCAGCAGCAGCAGGAGCTGCAGCAGAACCCGAGAGCAGACTGATAGCACCCAAAAAAAGCAATTTGTTCTTACACAGATATCAGAATTCTTCAGCCGTCCTCCTTTGGCTCTTTTCAGAAGCCTGATCCAGGTGGCCTTCATTAGCCAGACAGCTCAGTTATTGTCCGCAGCTGCAGCGCCCGGCACAGAGTCTCACCCGGCATGTGTGCGCTGAGCCCTGTGGAATCACTGTGCCTTCCTTGGCCATACTCTGCTGCAAGCCCCTTCCTTTCCTTCCTTCTCTGAGCCTTCAGTCTCTCTGATCCGAGCAGGTTCTCATTTTTTTTTCCACCCCAGAAAACGAAAGAGCACACCTAAATCTGACTGTGCGCTGCTACAATAAACACAGAACACTTCCAAGTAGATTCCGAAGAGAGGCTTCAACTCCGGCTAAACTTGGTGCATCCTGCAACACAGAGGATGAATGTGGCTGCTTTTTTTTGTGGGTGGGGGTGGTTCAAAGAAATTACTTGTAAGACATGAGAACCTTTTAAAAATCCAGTGCAAAATGTATTCCATGACATTTGCAAGTGCAAAGTTCAATCCATATCTTCAGAGATCTGATTGGGGTGGGGGAGGGAGGGAGCCCAGCACATCACTGGGCATGCTCTATATGTCGCCTTTTACGCAGATGCTCACATCACACTGGGAGTCTATGTCAAATTGCTATTTTACATCTCAAGTGTAAACAGCTGGAAAGGGCCCTTTGGATCTGAAGTCGCTGGCAGAGTGTCATATTTTTATCATGTCTCTGCCACCAGTGAAATTCACTCTCAGGGATACAGTACCTGTTCTTTTTCTTTAATGCTCTCTTCCCATTGCTATACAGCATTTCAAAAAACACCTTAGCCACTACAAAAATGTGGGGCCCCTGCTGTAAGACATCCATATGAAGAGCAGAGAGAAGAGATATGTCATCCAAAACATTCTGGTCTGGGAAGAGCGCATGATTTTCATCCACCATAATGCAAATTTAGATTGCTTTTTGTCGTCTTCTAAATCAGATGCAAGAGACACGTCTGCACACATTTAATTAGGGCATGAATGATGATCATGGGTTTCTAAAGCAATCGCTTTAGCAGAACTAAAAATGACAGGCAACTGTTTCCCAGTGAGAGACTGCTATTAGTAACTGTGCATGTTACATTCAAATGTGGACTGTTGTAATACTAATCATGGAGAAATCTGAAAGCACAGATTGTTAGTTATTGGCTCTGGCTAAGGATACTTCAGTTGGATGGATACAAAAGTATTATTAACTTCACAAGCTCATATTCACAAACCCCCAGAATTTTGGAGCTCAAAGGGAGCTAAGAGATTATGCAATTGAAATCCTCCCCCCCCCAAAAAGGGGAAGAAACGGCAGTTCAGAGAAGTTGTCTAAAATCTTGTCTGAGATTTTAATGATGTCTAAAATTTTAAGACGTCTAAAATCACAGAACTTGCACCTGTCCATGGAGAGGCCTAGAACCCAAGTCTCCTGAGTGACCTGAAGTCCAATGTCTAATTTTGAAAGACTCAATTGACTAATATGCAAGTAATTAGGCTATGGTGCAAATTTAAACGATCACGGTCTTTCAAAGCAACTATTCTAGGAATAGTGTCTTATTTATTCCATCCTCCCATCACCCAGGCTCCCACATCAAATCTCTTGCCAAATCCTGTTGATTCCACCTTTATAATATCTCTCCTGTAAACCCCCTTCTCTCATCTGACACTGCCACCATCTTCTTGCAGGTCCTCATCACCTCACATCTGAACTACTGAAATAGCCTGCTGATTGGTCCCCTGCCTCCAGTTTCTCTCCATTCCAATCCATCCTCCATACAGTTGTCGAATGGAACTTCCTAAAACCTAGGTCTGACAATATCCCACCCCTATTCAATAAACTCCAGTGGCTACATGTTAATTGCCTCCAGGATTAAATATAAAAACCCACTGGTTTTCAAAGACCTTCATGAACTGACTCCTTCCTATATTTCTCCTTTTCTTATGCCGTATTCCTCTCCATGAGGCAGTGGACAGAGAACACTGAACCTGGAGTCAGGAAGACCTGAGTTGAAACCCAGCCTTATACACTCACTAGCCATGTTATCCTAAGCAAGTCACTTAACATTTGTTTTCCTCAACTGTAAAATGGGATGATAATACAACCTTCCTCCCAGGGTTGCTGTGAGGATCACATGAGATAATATTTGTCAAGCAGTTATCACAGTGCCTGGCACATGATAGATGCTCAATAAATAGTTGGTTGCTTCCTTCCTTCCTTGTATTATGTGATATAGTGATACTGGCCTCTTTGCTGTTCCTTACACAAGACACTTCATCTCCAGACTCCAAGTGTTTTTCCTGACTGTCCTCCATGCCTGGAGCTCTCACCCTCCTCATCTCTGCCTCCTACTTTTCCTGGCTTCCTTGAAATCTCAGCTGAAGTCCCATCTTCTTTAAGAAGGCTTTCTCAGTCCCACTTAAGGTTTGTCCCTTTCCTCTGACAATACCCTCAATTTTTCTTGTATATATCTTATTTGCACATAGTTGTTTGCATGGGAGCTCCTTGACAGCAGGGACCATCCACTTTTTTGCCTTTCTTTGCATCTCCAGTGTTTAGTACAATGCATAACACAGAGTAGGTATTTAATGTTCATTGACTGATTTACTATGTAAAAGACAGAGAAAGAGAGAGGAAATGGAGGTAAGAGAGACAGGAGAAATGGAAGCAACCTGGTCAGGTGATAAGAATAAGAGACAAAAGACAGGCAGCATAAGTACTTTGCTGCTCTCCCCAAGCTAGTAAGAAAACTAGAAAAAAGTCCTAGTACATGGTGGATCCTTTAAATGGGATTTATGGAAAGACATAGATAAGAACTATAGAAGATAAGAAATAGTGGAGCAGTTTTAGGCTTCATTGATGGAAGGAGTACCCATATGGGCAAAATCCCATAGTGTTCCATCACCCCATCATCAACTGAATCTATTTGTTTTAAACTTTTAGGGGAGTGTTTGTTGTTGTAATTAGCCAACCCATCAAAAATAGCAAACCTATACTTTCAGAAATCTTTCCAGAAAGTCTGGGCACATATGTACATACCCTGAGAAAAATTCAATCCCAAAGTTCAACAAACATTTATGTTTATGTTATGACTAAATGTTTCAAAGAGTTTAAGAGTTTCAAAGCATGAAAGCAGAAAGAAAAAAAACTGCAATAGAGAGCTTATAAGGGAAATGATATTGCTAGCAATCACAGCATCAACAGATAATACTCCTAGTAAGTTAATATACAGGTCAATCACTTCAAGGACTTGTGGTTTCATTTGGGGCAGACCATAAGCTCTCTTGAAGAGAATTTGTGACTAAGAATTTGCCACCCAGCAGTCAACCTAATAATGGGAATCTCCACCTTTAGTTAGATTGATCCATGTACAGTAGAGATGCTGTCTCTCACTAAGCTCATATTAAAGCTTTTTCCAGCTTGGCAGGACCCATGATAAATTGTACTTGTCTGGTGCAGCCTGTGAAATATAGGATTACTTCCATCTCCCGAGGAGGTACTGGAGTAGAACTGTCTAAAGGTCCATTTTACATGGCAATTTCAAAAATGTCCTTATAAAACTAGGGCTAGCCTATCAACTACACTGATTGGGCAATCACTTCTGTGACAATGTCAGGAGCAACTGACACAGCTTACACGCATGAAGCACAGGTGATTGTGAACAGGATGAGATAAGACTAGAAGGTAAGGGGAGGTCAAGTTGTGGAAGGCTTTGAATATCATGGTGGAGATAAGTAATTCAACATCATTTGATAAACAATTCCAAGCCTTTGAAGTGGTTTGAGCAGAAGAGTTACATGATCAATCAATAAGCTTTTATTAAGTGCTTCGTGTCAGGTACTGTGCTAAGTGCTGGTGGTACTAAAAAAAAAAAGGCAAAAATATTAATAGAAAAAGAAAAAGTCCCTACCCTTGAGGTTCCCCAAGGAACTTACATTCTGATACATGCATTCATAAATAGGTACAAACACATCAGACCTAAGGCAACCTAAGAGGTGAAGGGTCTAGCATCTGAGGGAGGGGAAAGGAAACAAAGAACCTGTGGAGCATAGCATGTGAGCTGAATCTCGAA